TCAGCGAGGTGTTCCAGCCTCCTTTTAAAGACCCCCAGAGTAGGAGCCAGCACCACTTCTCTTCAAAGTTGGTTCCAGATCCTAGCCGCCCTGACAGTGAAGTAGTGCCTCCTGATATCTAGCCTAAATCTATCCTCTGCCAGCTTGTGACCGTTATTCTTGTCACTCCTGGTAGTGCTCGGGGGAACAGGGATACCCCCAATGCCTGCTGGTCCCCCCTGACTAGTTTGTAAACAGCCACTAGATTCCCCCTCAGTCTTCTCTTGTGGAGACTGAACAGGTTCAGGTCCCTTAGCCTCTCCTCGTAGGGCCTGCCTTGCTGACTCCTGATCATGCGGGTGGCCCTCCTCTGGACCCTCTCCACGTTGTCCACATCCCTCCTGAAGTGCGGTGCCCAGAACTGGATGCAGTACTCCAACTGTGGCCTGACCAGTGCCACATAGAGGGGGAGGATCACCTCCTTGGACCTGCTTGAGATGCATCTGTAGATGCATGACAAGGTACAGTTGGCCTTCCTGACTGCTTCCCCACACTGTTGGCCCATGCAAAAATTCGATTTTGCAGGTTAGACTAAGCTGCATAGATTGAACCAATAAGCACGTGAATAGACATGCAGTTTTGGTTCTGGAAATCCAGCCACATGCCTGCAGTGGCTCAGGCATCTGACCACACCCAATCCTACTGCCATCCAAACCTTTGCATGTCATGTTGCCTCATGATCATTAAAGCAGACAGCTCAGTCACTGGAGTGTAGGAGAGCTCTGTACATCGAAGGACAATGTGGCCTTGATCTGTATGCTGTAAAATAAGCCTGCATCAGGTGCGTGGGCAGTGACAGTAAGGGATGAGCAGTTCTGTCAGTAAAACATTTGTCTGCTTTGAAACCAGAACAGCAGAGAGGACACCCTGACTCTCTGAAATGTGCAAAAACCAGACAGAAAGGAGTCTTCCCTCAGGATCATGGTTTGGAAAAGCATTGGGAATAGCACACCCAAGCTAGACTGCAAAGGAATTGTACGCTAATGTCTAATTTAAAAATGTGCTATTTAATAGAGAGAGGTTGCTGGATGAATCTGGCTTGGCTAGTTTTAGACTGGAGTTACAGTTGCCATTGTCTGCAGCAGAAATGGAAATGTTTTATTTAAGGCAAATGACTTTTTTTCATCTTGGTAGTCCAGCTGGTTACTTAATTTACCAATCACTGGTCCCAAATCCCTTCTACAGTATTGTTGCTTTAGGGTCAATGAATTTTTCTTTGTGCTGCACTGTTGGCTAGTGGCTGAAACAGTTAATTTCAGGCCCCTTGGCAGTACCAGAATCTCTCCCTCTCTGCAGCAGAGGGTGTGGAGGAGTTTTGATTCAAGTGGGTGGTGGTGTGAAAAATTGTTGATGGATCAAAATTGAAAAAGTCTTAAAAGCAGACTTTTGTTATGTAGTAGACCATACTTTGTGGGGCTGTGATCATCCTGTTATACTTCACGTTAGCTTGCAAAGGCCAGAGGACAACAAAAATCTGGCTGAAATAATAATGTAACCAAGTGTTTCTGTGCAGAGAACTTCCTCATCTATTCAGTTGCACTGTATTTAATTCCCCTGAAACACTTGTCTGAACCCCCACCCCAAGATGCTAAGTTCGCACTGTCGACTATTAGTCCCAAATGTCTGGTTTAATTTAGGAATGATTTTTATGTTTATGGTAACAAAAATGTCTAAAATCAAAGGTGCATGTCCTGCTTTTAGGGAGTATTTAACCAGCTTTGTGTTAAGCAGCCAACCCTTGCATTGCTGGCCGAGTTCTTGGAGGTTGGATAAATCACTGTTTGGTGGAAGTATGAGAAGGGAGGAAGAATGAGTACACCCCCTTTGGACAAAGGGAAAGTGGAGGTCTAATTCTCAACTTCATTTCCATCACAGTGATGACGACTTCATCCCTTATGACATGTCTGCCGATAAGGAACTGAAGAAGACAAAAGCTCCTTTGTATATCCGGGACTGTATTGAAGGTAGGAGATTCTAGATAGTCTGTTGAACCGTGGAGAGTCTATTGGAGCTTATGCCTGGTTGTTAGATTGTTTTGAGGTGGGGCTTTTTGAAGGCTGGTTTTCATGAGCAGACTCAAAGAAGTTAAGAAACATGAGAACACCAGCCACTTACTGGGTCAAATCATGGGTTCATCTAGCGGCTGGTTTTCATGAGCAGACTCAAAGAAGTCATGAAACATGAGAACCCCAGCCACTTACTGGGTCAAATCATGGGTTCATCTAGCCCAGTAGTTTCTTACATAGTGTCAGTGTGTAGATGCTGATTGGGAGGGTGAACAGTGCATGTCCAGAACCTTCTTCCCCCTACTTCTTTCCCACTGTAGCTTCCAGCCATTGGAGGTTTAAGAAGTACAGATTTTGAGTTGTATCCCTGTCTGCTGTGTTCAGTACCTGCTCATGGGCCTTTCCACCAAGAATTTGTCCAGCTCCCTTTTGAACTGGTTTAAGCTGTGGACCTCCACAACATTTGGTGGCAAAGAGTTCCGTAGTTAGATGCCATGTGAACAAGAAGTGTCTCGAGTTAGTTTTAAATTGACTTCCTAATAGGTTTTTATGTCCCCTAGTTCTACTATTTTAGGAGACAGTTAATAATAAAACCCTGTTTACTTTCTCTGAACCATTTAATATTTTGTAAACCTCTATCAAGTCTCCCCTTCAAGAGTCTCTTTCTACACTGAAAAGTCCTACCCTATTTAGTCTCTTCTCTTATGGCAGCCCCTGCATACACTTGATCACCCTTGTTGCCCTTCTCTGTACCTTTTCTAGCTCTTTTATATTCATGTTGAGGTGTGGGGACCAAAACTGCATGCAGTATTCAAGGTATGGACACGCCATAGATTTATTTATAAAATGGACATAATAATCCTTCATTATAATTCCCAACATTTTTCTTTGCCCTTTTGAGTGCTGCTGATCACTGAACTGATGTTTTTTAGCAATGTATCCACAATGATTTTAAGACTACTGTTACCACACAGGAAAGCAAAGGTAGAGCCCATCATTGTGTAGGTATAGTTTAGATTATTTCTCCCCTCCCCTCTCTCTGCCCCTCAGCTAGGTCAAGCCAAGTGACCACGCTCTCTCCTGGTTTTCTTCTTGGTTCAGGCTGGTAAATTAGGTGACCTGGCCAGATAAAATTCCTAGGAGGAGAGGGAAAGCTCGCTCTTCTTTCCGGTGGGCATTTTGAAAGTGGTAAGCAAATGCCTAGGGTTCTGCCTGGAGATTTACTGCAAGTAAAAACGTAGAAACTAGCCAGGAGTTAGGATGTATGTGTAGGCCAGTCATGTCTTAAACAGACCACTGTGCCCAACTTCTGTACAGAGGTTGTCTGTCTTGTTTGTTTGTTTGTTTTTAATTTTATTTTCCATCAGTTCTACCTGATGCTATCTTGGGATACTTCGGGCTCAAAGAAGTACCCAGAAATATTACTGTGGGCAAAGCACCCCCAAGGTTTGCAGGGTCTCTGCCCCAGGCTCCAAAGAGCCTTACCAGAGACGTGCTCATGTGGTGACAGCATTACCGCAGGCTTGCGGGTGTTCTCCAGGAAGTGGGACAGCCGGCTATAGGTTCCCAAAAGGAGACTCCCAAAGCGTGGTTTTGGACCTGGCATGGTGAGCCAGGTGGCTCTGCGTAATAGTGCCCCCAACTGTGCACGCCACAAATTTCATCTGCCATCTTGCTGCAGTACTGAAGAACTTTGGGCTTAGACTTTAAACTATGTAAGTTCCTGCATAACCCTGACTTAGTTCCTAGTGCTTTGCTTGCTGCTGGCTCTTTGTATTGGAAGAGGAGAGCAGTTAGAGCAAGGAGAGTACTGTGACTTTGTGATCCAGCAGGTCAGGCATACTGAATTCTCAGGTCTGGCATCAGTGACATCTTTCTCCTAGGGAACAGAGAGAAAGGGAGGAATTGATATTCTTGGAACAGAAGGTTTCAGGTAGTTGGCAAAGCTAAGTGGTTGTTTTTGTCACCTTTAGTCCTAACTGGACCTGAAGACATGGACAAATGGGAGGCCACGATGAGGGTTCTGGAGACCTTGATTCAAAGGAATACAGCTGCTACACAAGAGGTAAAACCACATGGGCTGAGAATTACCATGGGCTAAACTACATGGGCTAAGACTGTGTTCACAGTGCTACTATCTCTCCCTTTGGAAGCTAGGCATAACCCAGCTCACTGAAAGAGTGACTGGTCAGGCTGAGTTGACCTGTTCAGAACTTGTGTCCAAGAATTGCCTCTGAGTATGGAGATGATGCAGAGCAAGAGAAAGACCTGGATCAATAGCAGCAAAGCAGTTGGTTCTTTTTTCCCTCTCGTTTTGGGTTTCTTTTATTTTGGGTTCCTCTCACAGTTGGAATGGAGAGAGTGGGCAGGCAGTGTCTCCAGATAGCTCCTAGCTGGGGAAGGCATTTGAAATTGCCTGCCTTGCTCTAGGTTGAGGTGCCTGTAAGGTAACCATGAAGCTAAAGTAAGTGCATCTCCAAGGATCAGAAGACAAAATGTTTGTACCCAGCACTCCCTCAGACTTATTCTTTCTGCTCTGACTCCACAAGTGCTGGTCCCTTGTCCAGGGTGTCTGGGTGGGACTGTTCAAGTTGCAGACCCTGTTTGGGAAGAGAGAATAAGGGGCACTGATGTGAGGTCTTCAGTGGGGACTGAACACAGAAGTTTCAGTGCCAAAAGCATAAGCCTTTACCTACTGAGCCAGAAGCATAACACCATTAACTAGGAACAGTTTTAGTTTCTTATCCTCTTGTCAGCCATCTATTAGGTAGCATGTGTTGTCCACTTGATTCATGGGTTACAGTCTTCACTGAGATCCTTCTGAAAGCCCTGTGGGAAAAAAATCTAATTCGAGAAGTAAACTCAAGCATTTATTGTTGCTTCAAGCAGTCCTATCTCAATGATAGCCTTGTTTGTCCTGCCCTTTGCTGCATATAATAGACTGAAGTCTGATTCTCTGGCCCTGCATTTCCTATTGTATCCCTATGATAAGAGAGGCAGCCAAGATGGAGAGCATCGATCTGGATAGCAATTTGTGAACCCTCTGAGGGGAGAGCCAGCAGCCCAGCATATGGACCTCTCTTTTCTTGTGCTTTGTGCAGGTGAGTGTGGAGCTGGCAAAAGTGCTGCTGCACCTGGAGGAGAAGACCTACATTGATGACTTTGTGGAACTCCGTCAGAAAGCCCTAGTGACTGTCACCATCACAGATCCAATACCAGTGAGTCCCTGTGCTACTGCTTCCCTCCATGATAAGTATGGGCTCAAGGACTTGAGTGGTAGCCTTTTGGTAGGAAGGAGGCTGAGTTTATGCAGCGAGCTCCTGCTTGTTGCCTCTCCCCGTGTGCGCGCGCACACACGCACGCACACACACACACAGAGTTGGGCCACGCCCTGGAGCATCTGCCAAGGCACGATGGGGGGAAATTCCAGTAAAGAAGCTCCAGGCCAAAGCTGTGGAGGATACAAAGTGATTGTACAGAACAAGGGTCAGCGGCTCAGAAGCCAGATCTGACCTATGAAAAGGTCTGATCTCCCAGAGGGGATTGGTGGCACAGAGCTGTGATGCATTACTCATCCACCCCACAGCGGACTGCAAAGTGTTTTGAGACCCTTGCCTGTGGAATGGCAAAGTCCTGTTGTTTCTTTAGTCTCCTTTGGAAGGGTCTGGAGGTAGGAACCCCTGAATTTCTTCTGCACTGCCCTGTTTCTGGGTGGTCCTGATTTGTTACTAGCAGGATTTCTCCTCTGTGGAGTGGAGTATGGGTAGGGCCATTGGGGGAAGGTTCCTCTCAGGTTCTGGTTCATGCTGCTGTTCCCTGGTTCTGTGCAGGTGGCACAGTATCTGACCTCCCAGTTCTACTCCATGAACTACAGCCTCCGCCAGCGCATGGACATTCTGGATGTAAGTGGCACACATCTCTTCCTTCCTTTTTTATTCTCAAGAGACCTACACTCTTGTGCAACTGCCTGTTGTACCAAAACCCTGTATCCATAAGCAGAGGTAACTTCTAATTTTAAAAGAGACTGGGTTGAGCAAGGTTTGAGCAGAAAGTAGGGAATGGCCATCACTTTCAACTCTTAGCACTGCTGTACATTATTCTTTATGGTATGTGGTGGACTAGCAAGAGGCATAATGCAGAGCATGGGGGCAGTGACTTGTCTGTGGTTGATGGGGAGTCTCCTACAATCCCTAAGGCATGTTTACTCTGTCTACTTAACTTCTTAAGAAGCAAGTCCTTCCCACAGGCTGCCACAACATGAGACTAACTACCTAGGAAAGAAACCATTGTCTTGTTTCAAGGGGGAGTGTCTCAGCTAAATGCTCCCTGAAGCCTTCATATAATAGGCCATTGATCACATTAAATGTGTAAGGTCAGTTATTTCACCCCAATATTCTTGGGTCTTATGTGCCCGTGCCATCCCCTCAGAAGCTCAGGTACAGGTGACTGTCACTCTCAATTCCTTCTTAAGAGGGGTCAAAAAAAGAAGCTTTGTTCTGTGTATCTAGGTTCTGGCCTTGGCAGCTCAGGAGCTCTCTCGACCCAAAGCTCCTGGTAAAAACAAACCCTCCAGCATCCAGACTCCCTGCATCCAGATCCTCCCCGGAAGTGACAGTTCCAAAGACTGGAGAAAGATTGTGGATGAGAGGATCAAAAGTAAGACCCGGAGATTTGCAAAGGTGAGACCAGGTTACTTGACAGTGGAAATGTAATAATGTCTCATGCCACTACAGCTACAAAAGGGGAATCTAGGAATTGTCACAAACCTATCTAAGAACTTGGGTTCAATGCAGTGTCAGCAAATGTTGGGTAACTTAATTATGTGGGACCTGAATCTGTGGAAACAATCTGCCTATGTTGGGAAAGGACTGTATCTTGAAGTCTCTGTCCTGCACTGTTTTCATTCTGCAGTTGCTGCTCTCAGATTTATCCTCTGCCTTTGCATCCCAACTCCCCTTCCTCTAATCCTATACTAGCATCCAGCTGCCTTTATTCTATTAGCCCTAAGTTCCCACTTACGCCTTGCATGGAAAGAAGTAAAGTAATTGTCTAGCCCTCTGCAAAACTGCACTAAATCTCATGTTGGGAGGTACTTTCCTGTATTTCTGGCCCCACTGTCCTTTGTGTGCTGATATTCCTTGCCTCCTGTTCCCCTCCCTATATCATAGGACTGGGTACACACTGTGTCCATAGGGAAGAGAAGTGTTCTGAAATGGACAGCTGACTCTGGTGAATTAGAATATAGGGTAGGTAGGCTGTTGGCCCATTGTAGGTCTGTCAGCTAGACATGAATCTGGGGTGGGGTTGGTGAGTAATGGAGATGTATCGGGAAGACAACTGATGCTTTAGTGACAAAAAATGCTGTTGTGATCCTTTCCCATCCCTGCCAGCAGTGGACAAGTAGGACAACAAAGGCCCTTACTCCTCTAGCTGTGTTCTCCCTTTCAATTTTTTTTTCTTTTGGGCAGGGCCAGTCTCAAGTGGAGCTTGTTTGTGCCCCAAATAAATTCAGTTCTGTGGCTGGGCACTTCTTCTTCCCCCTGATTCAGAATTTTGACAGGTGAGTGTGTTGAGCTCCTTGTGACCCAGGTATTTCCATAAAATGACAGTGAAACATGGATGTGAGAACAAAGAAAAAGCATCACCTTGTTATTTTTATTGAATAAACTGTGGCAGAGAGATTTGATGACAGTCCCATGGCCTAACAGGCTGTCAGTGCCTGAGTCAGGCATCGAATTCTGGAGAGCTGTGTCCTCACTCCCTGCTCTCGCCCTTGGATTAGATCAAGCTTTTACTTCCTGCAAGATGTTGGAATTAGTAGCTCTTGGCCTCTCCAACCTATTTTCTTACTCATAGATTGAAAGAGGAAAACAACCTTTTCCACACCGGCATCTTTAATTTTTATCCACCTGGTCTGAGGAAGTTTAAAACCAGGTCTTATACATGGTGTGTGGAGGACCAGCACCAGGACACTCTGAAAACACAACAAAAATAAACTGATGAAGGCCAATTTAAGGCCAAATCTCAGCTGGGTTGAAAAATAAAAAGCAGGTGAAGGGGGGAAGAGGTGAATTAGAGATGAAAGACTTGGTGTGAGAAAAGGAGCAGGATGAACACAAGTAACATATTGCACAGCTTTGCTTTTATGATGAGGCAGTGCTCCTAATGCTTAGGAGATAGGAAGTGCCAGCTTCTGACAGCAGCTGATTTGCTGTGTGGCCTAGGCTAACTCATTTAGCCTCCATGTGCTTTTAGATTCCCTCTCTGTAAAACAGATTAACATCTTTACCAGGGCTGTCCAAGTTCTAAAACCCTGGGACCCACATCAGGCTACACAGATGCTCCCCCTGCCACTGTACTGTGTGCCCCTGCAGGCATCCTCTCTCCTCCTTCAGGGCAGGCAACCCCTTCCCCTGTCATTTGCACTGTTCCCTCTCCACTACTCCTGCACTGCATGGCTGTAATCCACCTCCTTCCCCTCCCTCATGCACACCCCTCCCCAACACTTGCCCTCAGCTTCCCACATAGTGAACTGCAGTGCCCCAGCCCGTGGGACAGAGGCAGGAACAGCAGACTTTGGCTGCTGTTGCTGCCCAAGCAACGGAGGAAGCAGTTTCATAGTTATTAGGGTTGGAAGGGACCTATTAGATCATCGAGTTCAACCCCTTTCCCTGGGCAGGAAAGAGCACTGGGGTCGGATGACCCCAGCCAGGTGTCTGTCCTTTTGAGTGTTTCCAAGGAAGGGTTCAGCACCACCTCCCTTGGAAGCCTATTCCATATTTTGGCGACCCTCACTGTAAAGAACTTTTTTCTGATGTCCAGCCTGAATTTGCTCTCTTTTAACTTGTGTCCATTGTTTCTAGTTACCCCAACTGTCGCCCTGGTAAACATCATATCCCCTACTTCCT